CCACAGCCATTCTCTTCCATTTAGGGCTCTAACAATTAAGAATATTCTCTATCCAAAGTCCAAATCTCCAGCATCATCACTAGAAAAAAAGAATTAGATTAGAAAAAATTCATAAAATTTAAAAAATTAAAAATTTACTAGAAAAAAAATTGAAAAATAGAAGGAAAATAGGTGAAAATAATTTCCTTTAACCAAAACTATTCTCCATTACGCAATAGCTCTAATAGTCAGCGATTCTATAATTCTATAATTCACATTCCAAATCTGAAACTTTTGCACCAAAGAGAAATAGAAAAATAAAATGGAAAAGGAGGGAAAGGAGTAGAAATTGCACCCGCATGGTGGAAACGGTGAAACAGCCCTGTTCGCGGCCAGGTGCGACGCGAAACGGGGCACGTGCATGCGCGGACCCGCGATCGGTCCCGGGTGCCGAGGTTCGGTCGAGCGAGGTCGCGGCATCTCGTCGGCGCGGTTGGGTCGATGGACGGTACGTGGGCGTCGCGACGCCGGCGCCGGCACGAAGCTCACAGGTGGTCGCCATGCAGTCTGGCCGTGTTTCGTGTCGGATGCCGCGGCAGCAGCTCGGCGTGACGCTTTTTCGAGGTCCACGACCGGCCGGCCGAATCGATCCACCGCCTCCGTTGCCGGCGACGACGCCGCCGCTTCCGGCGTCCGATTGTTGTGACGCCGCGTACCGCGCCGGGAACCACGCTGCCACCGGCGTCCAGGCCTGCCTATCCTCGGCCACCTCCACGAAAGGACCACCGTAAGCCTCCCTCTCTCTTCGTCTTCGGACCTTACGCAACGCCTCGTCGCAGCCTTGCCCTTCCCCTAACCTTTCTTCCGTATGACAGCCACCCGCGGGACACGGCTGCTCCGCGGATAACGCGTCGGACGCGAGGAGCATCGGGATGAGAAATCGCGAAACGGTCGACGTAGCTGGTTGCGTGGTACAGTAGTGAATGTTTACGAGTGGACGTTTCAACGACGCGAGGCAAAATACGAGGGTGGATGGTCCGCAGGGATGCTGCCAAGGGTGGCGCACCCTAACCTATTTCGAGGCTAACCTGTTCGACCCTGTGGACGCTCGTTCGACCAGGCGTCGTAAACAGGGAAAATTTGTTTTCCCGAGAGATCCGATAGAGAACCGATCCACGAAAACGAAAATACAGAGAGGGAAGTGGAAAACAGACCGATTCGATTCGGACTGATGTTTTTCCACGGGGAAACACCAGTTCGCCGTTGGGTGCAAACGTTTTCGGTGGGGCAAGGGATGGAGGAATAGAGCGGGGAAAACGAGGGGAGAACGGTGGTGCATTCCGACAGCAGCATCCCGTGGACCGAGATACCCAGGTCGCGTTCGATATTTCGGGAAAACGTCGAACGAGCGGGCATATCGATCAGACTCGGGCCGCGAGTGCGGGCGGAGCCGGCGCGATAACTCCGTGGTGTTTTTGTTTCCCGAGACCACCGTACTATCCGTGACCGTATACGTTCTCGCGTGGACGACTCATTGAGACCTCTTGCCACCTTCCAGCCCGATACGTGTTGCTCCGCTGACATCGCGCGAATCCCTACATCTATGCACACGTCGGCTTCATGCGCCAGCCGATACCCTTTAGAGCAGCGTGTCCGTGCTCTCCCGTGTGCCATTTGCCGCTCTTCGAGCTATTGTCTCGTGCAGTCGTGTCGTTTCCTCGTTATTCCCTGTTCTTCTTCCTACGGATGTTGAGCATTTCATCGATTACCATTTCGCGGATAACACTCGGCGCCATTTCCCCGGTCTTTACCTGATTGCCTCTGATTGTTACGAGTGCCGAGATTTTCACGAAATTTTGCCATTTCGCGGGTAAGACGCGTCGCCATTTCTCTGTTGTGTCCCTGTCTAAGGTTGTTAGCACGAGGGACGAGAATTTCACTAATTTTTAACATTTCCTGGGCAAGATTCGTCGCCATTTCTTCGCTTTGCCTTTATCCACGATTGTCAGGACGAGGGGCGAGAATTTCACAAATTTTTACCATTTCGTGGGCAGGACACGTCGCCATTTCCCAGCTCTGGCCTTATCTCCGATTGTTAGTACCAGTGCCGAGAATTTCACAAACTTTTACCATTTCGCGGGCCAGACGCGTCGCCATTTCTGTTTTATCCGTGTCTCCGATTGTTATCACGAGTGTCAAGAATTTCCCAAATTTTTATCATTTCGCCATTTCTCCGCTCTGTCTTTGTCTCCGATTGTCAGCACGAGTGTCGCGAATTCCAAAAATTTTTACCACTTCGGGGACAAGATCCGCCGCCATTTCCCAGCTCCGTGCCAGTCTCTCATTGTCAGCGCGAGCGTCGAGAATTTCACAAATTTTTCCCATCTCTGAAAGAAGCCACGTCGCCGTTTCCCCGTCCGTTCTCTCAATGCCAGAAATTTCACGCGTTTCCGCCGTCTCGCGGACAAGGCTCGTTACCATTCTCCTAAACGCGGTATACCGGAATCCGGAACGCGTGGGGAAAGAAGGCGAGAAACGACAGAATCTCGAGGCTCGTCGCGATTGCAGAGAAGGACGTGCTTCGTTTTTAATTACACGCTTTGTTCCTCTCGACGGCGCGCAACTTCTCGCCAGCGCGCGCGGAACACGGAGCGGAGTTTCGCGAACGCGAACGGGCCGGATCGAACAACGAACTTTCACTCGCGATTCGTTAGCGCGTCGCGGCGAGATTAAAAAAGACAGCGAGGCTGGTAAAATCGGCCGGCGAGTTTGGAATTAAACGCGAAACTGGGTTAGCCGCTCGCAGCAATCGAGTTGCATCTGTGTGTTCGACCACACGGACAATCGTATGCCGGTGTTTCATCTCGCGGAGGCCATCGCGGGGTCGCGAGAGGACCGTCTCGCGTTTGAGCGGCGCAGTAATTGTTGGATAATCGTTGACACCGGAGAGGAGGACTCTTAATTGCAGACCGTGGTTGTCGAGGGCTGACAAAGAGACAGGTAGACCCGAGATTGGCTGTGGGACGGTTTAAAATTCCAGCCTCGATTCGCCTGGTCGTTATCGTACTCGCGCGCCTCGCGAGGCGGATAATCGGTGCATAATGCAACGAGCATCGGTATTAAAATTACTCGCGAAAGTGTGTCAGCGTGGAAGCTCGACGACGTGGCTCCTTCGCTCGTTTTAAATCTCTCTGTTTAGACCTGTGCGCAGCAAAGAAAACTCGCTCGTCGCGCGCTTTCGAACGCGGAGAGGAGCTTATTCCGGGTCGACGATCTTCGATGCGGGAGACGCTGGCGAATGGGGTTGAAGAGACAAATTGAATCGAAAATCCGCGGTCTGGAAACGGAACGGGACCGAAAGGCAGAAAGAAATGGCGGGTGAACGGGCCGCGGGGGGGAATATTAATAAACGAGAAGTAGGGAGAGAAAAGGGAACTCGGCCTGGGCGCCATTTCAAATGCTAATTCCGGGGTAGTACGAACGGCGTTGGAAGTACCGTGGAAGGAAAGAAATTAATTAGGCATCGATATTAGCAATTTCCAAGGAATTCTTCAGCCGATCGACGATACGGTAATTGGCGACGTTTCTAGAATTCCATCGGGAGCACAATGCAGTCTCGATGGCGGCCTCGCGACCCCGGAATCCATTAACCGGCCCGGGCCTATCGATCCATCGATATCGCCGCGAGCATTCCTACCGTACGCGAGAACTCGCGCGAGTTTGATCCATTACGAGCCGTGACGACGACGGTTCAGCCGAACGCGAAGGAAGCTGACGCGAGTGGAACTCCGTATTCCGGGACGCGTTCGGGATCTTTGATCCACGCGCGCGCAATTAAAGCGTTTACGTGGCCCGCGGGGACTAGAGGAATCCGCGAGCACGTCGACGCTGTCGCGCCACTGCCGGATTGCACGCGAACCGCCCTCGAGCGGATCCAGAGAGGGTGTGCTCGTTAAGCCGGCTCGCGTCTGAAAGCGCGGGCGGAATTCGACGTTCGAACGCGTGCAAGTATCGAACGGGGTCGCGCAGGGGGTGAAATAGGGATAAAACAGGGACAAAGAAGGGATAAAGTAGCGATAAAGTAGGGATAAAGTAGCGATAAAATAGAGGACGATCGATGAAATAGCCGCGGATTCCGATCACGGACGACGCAGTGAAGCGAGTAGGAGAAAGTGGAGAGGAAAAGGGTAAAGGAGAGCGAAGGAGAGCGAGGAAGGAAAAAAGCGAGATCCACGCGAATCGTTGGCGGGTCTGAACAGCGACAAGGGAGTAAATTAAGTTTCCCATGCCGGTGTTCCATTAGCGGGTCTAGCGTGTGGATCGATGAGTAAGAGGGAGTGGGATCGGAGGTGGGGTTGGCGAACGCGTTGGCTGACAAGAGGAGATCTGTAATAGCGATCGGTGAATCGCGCGGAATGGCGGAATGGTCGGCGAACGTTCCGGCGGCCGGTATCGGCGTCGACGCCGTCGTCGGGCTCACGAGCGAGCAAGCGTCGTTGGAAGGCAGGTACGAAGGAAGGGGGAAGCAAGGTAGCGTGGGAAGAGGCAGGTAGGGGTACGTGGCAAAAGGCAGAAATAATTCCACATTTGCCGAGCTGGCTCGCACGTGTCACACGCCTCAGGCCCGCACACGTGCGCACACGTGTGCCCCTTTTCGTTGCTATTTCGCGACACGCGAATAGACAGACAGACAGACACACACGCGCGCACGCGAGCTGCCGAAAAACGGGAACGAACGCGGAGAGAGCGACAGAAAACGAACGGGAGGTGAAAGAGGAGAAGCAGCCCGAGTCAGCACGAGCCAACGGAGAGGAGAGATAGAGGATAGAGTGTGCACACGGCGAATAAAAGGGGGAGGAAAAAATATAGGAAGGAGGTGGAAGAGTGATAGCCGACCCCCCCAGGATCGTGATTAAAGCTTGTGACGGCGACGAACCGCGGATTTCTAAATATATAGCCGGCGATGTGCAAGAATAGGAGGCAAGCAGCACGACTCGCGATCGCGTCTCGAGAGAGAACGAATGGAACGTGAGCTCGCAGTGGGCACCGCGACGCCGCGGCGTCACCCGGACGCGCGTTCGGATAGGTCAGTTATCGGGGAACAAACTAGCTGCCGGCGGGTTCGCGTTAGAATCCTGTATCAGCCTTTCTCGCACACAGGTAACCAAGGATTTTCCGATTACTTTGCTTGTCTGTCATCCTCTCTCCCTCTCTGTTTGCCCAACTCTCTCTCTCTCTCTCTCTCTCTCTCTTCGTCCCTCTCTCTTTTATCCCGCTCGATCGTTTGTTCGTTCACCGACGACCAACCGAAATTTGTCGCGAGTGTCCTTGTGTCACCCGGACCGCGTTTCCTCGCGCTCCTTCCACCCCTACCACGCGCCTCCCTAACCGGACCGATTATTCCGTTTAACCGTTCCTGCACTTGTTGAATTCCCCCTTGTACGACTCTCTGGCACCGCGTTCCTAGCCGCTCGTACCCGCTCATGCCCGCGTCACGCCACCGCTTCCACGTTTACGCGTATAGATCGATTCTCGAGATCGTTCTGTTCCTCCATTCGTCCATCTCGCCCCCGTCGCGACCCCGGTTCTTACGGCGCTCTTAACCGATTATCGTCGGATTATTGCCGGATTGTGCTACCAGCCCAGACGAAACAATGGGCACGAAAGGACGAAGTATCTCTCCGCGTGACTCGAGTCTTTCTCGCGACGACTTCGCCGACCCCTTGCACCCTCTTTTGTTCCCTCACCGAGACGCTGTATTTACCTTGCGGTCGGTTGTTGCCACCCCTCTGGTATTTCCTTCTGCTCCTCGCGTACATGCCTCGCAATCGTGACTAGAGGTAGGTCGGCAACTCCGACCTACCCGCTTCCGCCACCCTCCACCCTCCTGCTCTGTTTCTAGTTTCATTCAGTCCTTCGCTATTTCCCTGCTTTACGAGCTACTTTCCGATTTCCCCGCCGCTGCGTGTACCTACATGTCGTGCATCCATCTTCGCTATTTATCTGTCGCCTCCCCCGATTCGGATGGGAAAGCGGAGATCTCGAGGCGCTGGAAATATCGGCCACGACACGGGGAACATTCCCGAGAACGGGCGTTAAATCGGAAAGATTCAGCGAGCAGAAACGGATGCAGATCGTGTCGGGAAAATAGCTTAGTATGCGCGAAACGAGCGCGGAGGCACGCTCGCGGCTGTAATTTATTCCGAGCTCGCGACAGCGGGCAAACATTTACACGTGGCTTGTCAATGGTCTAGCATCGCCTCGATCGTTTCTTTCGACACCCGGCTTCGCCTAATTCCACGCTCTCTGTATTACACTCGCAAACGATTCTAGCGATCGCCAACTACGTTCGCGGGCTAAAAATACCAGTGCCGTCACGTCCTGCTTCGAGTGGTCTCTCGAAAAAAGCCACTTCGGAAAACCGACTCGCGTCGAAGCGTCAGCTCCGCACGTGTCCAGACTCTGGCCGAATTTTTCCTCCTCGTTCCATTTTCTCTTCTTTCTCGTGTCCCTCGCGTTGCATGATTCTGAAGAGTGGAAGGAGCTATCAGTAGGAGATCGCCTTATTCGACGAGCTTATTTATTATTCGCGTCGGTGTCATCGGTTCCCTGGCCGGTATAAATAACCGCTTCCGTTGACATCGCGCGCGACGACGTTCGATAATCGATAGCTTTTTCCTGTGAAAACCGGTGCCGGCGATATCCTCGGGTAAATATAGAGTAAGGAGTATTCGTAGGCGCGTGGTCGGGTTCGACGGCGTGCTACGTAATTTCAGCCGGTTCTCCGCGACGAGGAAAACAAAGGGGTTCCAAATTTAGGTCTGGCCGGTGTATATTGGGTAGATGATGGAACGCGAGAGCGACACGGGGCTCCAGCACAGGTGACCCAGTTAATCGCGCGATACCCAGGGCAATCGACACCTTTCCGCGAAAACGAGATAACTGAGAAACGCGCGCGAAACGCACGCGAAACGCCCGCGAACGTTCGGCGAAACGCGCAACGAGCCGTTCTTACGTAAACTCGCTACTCCTGCTAATTACCCGTCACTGCGTCGGATGACCTATTTCGCGGCGCGTTCGAGAATCGATAGCTTTTCACCGGGGCGAACCGTGCCGTTTCCAGCAAACCGTAACTCAAACGCCGAGCAAATATTAAAAATCCATCCCCGACCCCGATATCCACTTTCTTCTGTTTATCCTGTCCGTTTGTCGCCCGCCGCTCGCCCGTTAATCCGGTTTCGCTGGTAATTAAGCGCGCGTCGAGTCGATATTAATTAAGCGCTAATTTTCAGCGAGCAACTTTCAACGTACAGGTATACCTCTCGATAAATAGATCGCGCGGAGAGGTTTCCCCGATATCGTGGTACGAAGCGTGGTCGTGGTACGAAGACCCGATAGGCGGATAGACGAGCAAATAGATAAATAAATAGATAGAAGAAGCGAATGCGTGGAAATTCCAATGGGAATGGACGTAACGTAATTGGCGCAAAGTCCCGCTCGATACGGCCATTCCGTTCAGCGCCACTCGACGAGGACTTAAAAAGAACTCGAGCAGGCTTCGACGCGTGTTCGATGGCTCTCATTCGCTTTCCCGTCTCGTGCACCACGAGTTCCTCGAAGCGTGTCCGCGCGGAAAGATGAACGCACGTGACTAGCGGACCGCTCGCTGCTCGATCGCAGTGCCATGTTTGGCGATCTCTGCTACGGGGAGAGAGCGAGCCGCCGCGACTCGTCACGAGGATGAGACTTCCCCTTGAACCAGTGCCGATCCGATCGCGTTTACGCCATCGTCCAACGGCTAGACCGCGCCGCGTCACGCTTCTACGCACAGTGGTCTCGGTCTCGCGCCATCGTCGCCGGTTTTCCGTCACTTTTTCCGACATTTATCCGAGACCTCTGGCTAGCTCTCTAGCACGCGATGGACACCAGCGCGATGTCGAGTAAGTTCAACGTCGACGGTTAATACGGTGGCGATTCGGTGAACCCTGAACTTTCTTTTATCTTTCTTCCCACTTCCCACGCGGAATATGTGCTCGTTGCTCGCCGTCGGACGACTAGTCGTCGAGCGGATGGAGAGAAGAGGACGAAAAGGTAGATGCGTTAAGGCGATCCCACGCGAAGAGTGCCACCACTGTCGCGTGAATAGGTGAATCGCGCGGAGGAGGTTCACGAGGCCGGCAAATACGCGCTCGATGGAACTTGACGAGGCGAAATGCCTCTAATCCCAGGGGTATGGGCGGAGGCTGAGTGCGCGGAAGCCTTTGCTCCGTTGTTTGATTCGATTGTCCGGGACATAGTGACCAAGTAGCCGGAGACGTCCTACGATCTCGAGAGCCCCGATCCGAATCGATTGCCCGGCCGAGGGCCGGAAACGAGGACGACCGGTCGATCGATAGTTAGCATGAATTATTCACGAGTCGCGTAATTAAAGATATCGTTCGGCAGGGACACGGGACGACTGTCGATGAGAGAACGTCGTTGGCGATCGGCAACGAGACCGAAAGAAACGACCGGCCACTAGCTAGCGCTTAACGGGACGATGCCTGATTGCTTCGCAGATCGACCGAGGAACAATTCTGAAGAGATGCAGCGGTGTCCGTATCTCCACGAGATGAAGGAGCGCCTGCTCTCGCAGCCGACACCGACAGACAGCCTGGACATGGAGCGGCTCGATGGCACTCCTGTCAAGGAGCCCAATCTGCACAACGATTACCCTGCTCACACGAACCCCGGGGTCATACCGGAACCACCGGAAATGCCGCCTGATTCGCTCATCGGCACCGTCGTCAAGGTACGTCCTTTTCCAGGGCTTCCCTCCGACCACCTGGCCAGGTCCAAGAGTTTCGACCTTGCTTTCGCTTTCTCCACCCACGGTTCGAGTCGTTCAATCCCGACTAAACTCGTCGGTTCATCGATCTCTACCTGTCTTCTCGACAGCTAACCTAGTTGTCCATTCATCGACTGTCCAAACTCGATGCGCTCACGATTTCTTCATTCGCGATGCCTGTCGAATTAAATTCAACGATTAATATGGGCATGTCGCAGGAACGTTGAAAATTATTTCAAGACTGATTCGGTTGATACAGCACCGTAATCCGTTCATCGACTCTGTCCAATGCACGTGCCAGCGAGTTTTCTCACTGCGCGAAAATTAATTCGCGATAGTTCCCAACTGACATACGCGAGGTACGGTCATAATTGAGGCCACGCATTCCCAACTGTTGCACTGCACCTGTAAAATAAAATACCAATTAGTTGGATACGATCGGACAAATTTCATCGATCAGGTTTAACATAAGACTCAACTTGGTAGCAATGCGATACATGGTCGTCGACCATGCGCGAATACCAGGTTGTCCAAAATCTACCGTCCCAACTGGACATCTTCGCGAACTTTCCCGACCACTCACTGCCAAAAGACGAAGAACAGTGGCGCATCCTGCAGAGACGTTGCACCCCCTGTCCCAAACCTACGAGATCCAGCCTGAAACCACGCCATCCCTGAAATTCATCTTCGACCCAGCAGCCTGCTCATCGGACTATCGACCTTCGCTATTTAATTTCTCGCTTGCAGCTGAATTCCGATGGCTACGGCTCGCACACGTCGCCGGCGCACGCGAGGCAGCCCCTGGTGCCTCAAAACGCGAACAACCCACCCCACTGCCTCACCCCTACGCACTCTGGCCCGACCACTGGCACGCTGCCAAAGAACGCAAAGTGAGTACATTCTTACGAGTGCATTCTTAAGATCCTCGAGGCGACGAAAGGCCTTCGCGAGGGCCTCCTTTCGCGCCACGTACCGCGGAGACGCGACGCAGTTTCGCCATGGCTTCGCGACGCGTCCGCGGCTGCCGTCTAATTGCTCTTACACGGCCACCGTCGCGACGCGGACCCGCCATGCACTCTTTGTTTGCCGCGCGGACGTCCACGCGCGGATAAAAATAGGGTATTACGGACTCGGAGGAAAGAATATCGACAGGCCGGTGAAGGTTGTATACGATTTGCACGCGTGTCGAGTCGTCGCGGGACACGATTATCGGCCACGTGCAGGCACGTCGGCTTCCCGGTGCTTCCGCTATCGCGAAACGGCTCCCGGTACACCCCTTGGTCGGCCGAAAATAACGCCTGCCGACGCGTTTCCACGGTTTACGATCGCCTCGCGTAACACGCGCAGAAGGCATCGATGAACAGAGCTTCACGGGGTCGTGGACGTCTGCGGGAATCGGTTATTTCGGGCAAGATCTTGCCAGAAACGGAAACGGGGCACGGACCCGCGGTAAACAAGCTCGCGAGTTAGGGTGTGCACGCGAGAATGCGACCGGGACCGATTCTGCGAGCCTGAATCGGAAGTTAAGACGCGCTCGGTCGGTAAGCTCGGACCGACGAGAATGGGGCGTGATTAACTCCTTGACTTACGATTCGAGTCCCGGTGGCGAGTGCCATAATCAACGGCGTAATCAATCACACGCCGAATGCTAGCAAGAATAACGCGTAACGGAGATAGAAGGACATCGGCGGAAATTAACTACGAATCTGACTAAGCCTGACTCATTCGTTATTTACGTCGAGTCCCATCTAGAAGATACTCACGTTTGACCCGAGTTCCTTGCCACGAGTATCGCGGGATATCGTAGACGAAAGGGTTAACGCCTTCTCGTCGAGACTCGAAAAGTAATCGGGTCGAAGATGAGTATCACGTGTGAGAGACGTGATTCATAGATTGGGTCGAACGTACGCGACACGGGTCAGGCTCGTGGTTAATTTTCGCCGATTCTTTTTCCGTCTCTGTCGCGCGGTATTTTTGAAATGGCGTGGCCGACTTTGCCGTTGATTATGGCACTCGAATCGCAGAGCTAAGGGCTAAGGCGAGGACCCCGCGTCAAGTTTGGAAACCACGTGTTCGTGTGACGAAGAAGTTGCGTCTGTGGACGAACGTGTTACGCGCGGGGTGAACCTCCTCTGCATGGAGATTTACTCTCGTTAATATGCACGGTTAAAGAGGAACGCCATGTTTGAAACCCTCCGGCGATGCAAGGTGCATCCGAAGAAGGTGAGCTGCGTCGACGACCTCGAGGTGCACCGATCCGGGGCAAAAAACCGGGCGAACTTGCTCGAATTTCTTTAAAAGGATCGCGCAGGTCGGAGAGGAAAAAGGAATGGCGGATAACTGGAAAATTTCGAAGGATTTTTATCCCATTGCGTAACGAGTTCCAACATTCCGGACGCGAGAGCCACTGTGCACGTGCGAATAAATATGAATAAGAAATTATTCGAAGAACCGACAATGATGAACTCGATAGAGAAAAGGATGGGACATCGGTTCGAGCAACGATACCTAAATCCAAAATTCGCTATAGATGAATAGAAACGAAGAAAAATAACAAATTACTCGAGGAATCGAATTTCGCGAAAGTCGAACGTTTCTGAAAATTTTAAATAGCAAGAATTTTTATTCGACAACACCAATTTGGATAACTGTATTTAAATACAAAAATCACCGAGTTATTATAAACGGATACAAATAACAAATTACCCGAGGGTTTAATTAAATCCTTCGAGAACGATGCTTCCATTTCTAAAATTCGGAAAGCAACGAATTTCTATCCCACTGGACAGCCTCGATTCGAATAACGATGTGCAAATACAAATACAGACGAATAAAACTGGCAAATTACTCGAAGGTTCGCTGTTTTACCGATCGAGGAGAATTTTCAATCATCAAAAGCATCTCTATTAACGCGAAATTCATGAAAGAGACAACCGCAGCGAGTGAAAGAGCAGAGAAAATCGAGAGAGGACGCGATTTTACTGATCTTTGCCCAAGCTCTCATCCAGAGTTTAGTTCTAGAGACGCGGAATCGTGGCAGCACTGCCAGCGAGACTCGAAATCAATACTCGCTGTGCGTGAGTCTGGCCTGTCGCAATCCTTGCAACGCGATATTACAACACGCAGAAAAATGCTAGGGACACCGGTATTGCGCCGTATCGGTGACCCGGTTCGGATCATCATCGCTGGGAACGCGATCGGCCGCGCGTTGCTCCACGTCCGGCGATCTTCTGCGGTCTTGCACCCCTAGCTGCCATCTCGTAGTCCCAGGAACCGTGAAAACAAGGAAAAAGGAATGCGGAACGGAAAAAAACACGCGAACGCATACCGTATCGCGTGACACGGTAACTTTCTCGCGTGACCATTCGCGCGGATTACTATACCGATTGCTCCTCGTGTCTACGACGCCATGCCGCGTCGGGAAAAAAGCGCTCTAAAAAGCGGGAAAACCATAACCGAGCTTGGCATTCGTAGATTCGATGGATGTTTGCCAGGTATCTCGATCGTCCAACCGGTCGTCGACCTCTGAAATCACGAAAACAACCCTTAGCCAGCCTTTATCACGCCTGACAGGGGGGCCTCCCATTGGCAAACATCCCCTATCGTCGCGAAACAGTGGTTACGCGGATTCGCAGGAATTTTTCTTCAGAGGGGGACTGGGAACGAGGGAAGAGAAGAATTCTCTAATGGATTCTTCACAGAGGACAGGATATGCACATAGAGGAGAACAGGGCGCAACAAGGCACATCGACGGACAGCACAAAGCCTCGGCAATCTTCGACGGGGCGAAAGATAATCTCCGATCGCGATCGTAATCAGGGGTTGATTCCAGCGAAGTCGGGACGAAAGGGTCGCACGATGGAGAATTTTGTGGTAGGGTAAGGTTACTGACCTCGGTGCTAGCGTTATCGAGCGGGTCAGTGGGTCGCAGAACCACAGAGCATATCGTTCCCTCTCCAGCCGCCATCCAGGTCTCCTACTCTCTCTCGCTGTTCCGGATCCTCCCGTGGGAACGCAGCCGAATGTGCGCGCCAGACGCTCCCAACTTCCGTCCACCGCTTCCGACTCGCTTTCCAAAATAAAGAGGCTCTCTTGAAATTAAAAAAGCTCGCGGTCCCGTCATCCGGGGGGCGAGGGACAAGTCGTGGCCAACTTCCAGGGAACGCCTTCGATTCGCTAACATGGATGTAGAGGACTTTCTTCCTCTACCCCCCTCTCTCTCACACGCTTCTCTCTCTTTGAAAATTAAAACATTTATCCGAGAAAGAGATCAGTGATGTATCACCGGGATAGAAAAGGGTGGCGAGAAAATTTAGGACAGATATCTCGGATGGATATCCAGGGAGGAATCGCGACGAGCGGCGTTTAGGGTTCGAGTTTAGGGAGAATTGATCGCGAAAACGGCCTCGAGGGGAATCGGCGATAGCGCACGCGTTTGCCACAGAGAATTCGCAGTAGACAAAAGACTGCCTGGACGATACAGGACGAGTTACCTGCGAGCAAAGGGTGCTTCAGCGATTCCCTCTAACCGTAGACAGCGCCTCTGCTGGAGCAGGCGGAGGAGCCGCGCAAAGGGGTCTCGTAAACGCATCGATGCCGTGTCTTTAGCATCCACCATGTCCGGGAGGCTGGAAATAGACGTGAAAGGATATTTAAATAACCCGAGATATCGTTGGGGATAAAAATGGAAAAGGAGGACGTTGCCTGAATATTTATTCAGCGTTTATCATTGGCGGGTCGGCGCTGAATGAACTGCGGGGCGAAAACGGGGGGTGCAAGGGGGTGCGTTTCTGTTCGCGCTGCGGTTTTCGCTGTCGCGTTTTCAGCGAAACGCGACTACGGACGAAAAGCCGCGGAGGGAAGAGAACGGGAAGATGCGAGCCGCGGTGGGTGCGTGGAAACGGCGGTGAAACGAGAGGGGCGGGGAGAGAAAATGCGGAAAAGCTCGCGAGCCCGCGACGCTACTCCGAAAACCCAGTGACCGCGATTACGAGCGGGGTACGGCGCTCGGCGAGAGTCGAGACGTTGGCGGAAAAGCTGAAAAGGAAAGCGCGGATCGAACGACGACGGGGTGCCGCCCGTGTCGCCCGTGATCGACGTTGGATCGCGGAGGAGAAGTGGTAGAAGAAGCGGAGCCACGGGGTTCCTCGCGGTTACGCGGTATTCGCGTGGAAATGGAAAAATTCATGACGCGACGCGAGATTCCGAGGGAACAAAGGGAGTCCCAGCCTGGGTAGCTTGGCAGCCGAGAGGAATCATGGTGGAGGATTCTCGTTGGACCTCGGCGTAGGAGACCACAGCCAGGGGCGGAGAGAGAAGGGACGACGTGGAAGGAGGACGGGGGGCGGGAGAGGAGGCAAGGGGCGCGCGAAAGGGGTGAAAAAGACGGGAGACACCGTGGGGAAAGACGGCGAGAAGGAGACGCGAGATATCGGAGAGAAAAAGGGGCGCCGGGTGCGAGAAAGGGATAGGCGAAAAGAGCGATGTATAGAGTGAAAGCCGCGGATCGCAGTGCGCTTGTGCAAGAAGCTGCCGCTGCCCGGGAAGAGACCTCCCGGCCAGCCTCAGTCTCCGGGATGCTGGGGGCGGCGATCGTGATTCTACCCCCATTTCATCGTGCTCCGATAACATAGTCCATCTCGCTCGGCTGCTGTCCGTCCGTCCGTCCGTCTCTCGTTCTGCTCCCGTTCCTCTCGGATTAACCCTCGACGCTTGTGTTTACGTCCTCTATCCTAAGGTAGACTCCCTTTCGGTGTCTACCTCTCTCTCTTTCTCTTTCTCTCTCTCTCTCTCTCTCTCTCTCTCTCTCTTTCCATCTGTCTCTGTCTCTATCTACGCGTCCGTCTGTCTCCCTCTCCCGGTCTCCATCTTTATTTACCTATCCATTCGTCCACCCCCGTCTTTCCTTTCTCTTCCTCTCCTTTCCTCCCAGTTCCACGTTCCGCGCGACCTACGTGCTCTATCTCCGTCTTACTCTCCCTCTCCCTAACCCCTTTCTCCGTGTCTGCCTAGCCCTCGTCCCCTCTCCTCTCCCGACAGCATCAACTTCCTCTTTCTCTCGCCGACCTTCCATCCTCCATCCCTTCTCCGTCTCTCCGCTTCACACCCTTTTCCGCCGAACCCTGGGTGCAGTCACCGCGAGAACCTTCAGCCAACCACCTCTCCAGCAGGTGAGCCTTCTTGGTCGCGCACTCGGTGACTGGATATAGTTGGTTGGTTGGTCGGTTGGTCCGTCGGTTGTTGGTACGTCGGCGTTCGTCGAGGTGTGTGCATTGCACTCGGTTGGTAATCGTAGCCGCGCGTCGCCCGTCGCCTGTCGCCCATCGGCCGTCGCCTGTCGTCGTGCTCGTCATCAGTCATCGGAGCGAGAGTGCTCGATCCTCCCAGGCTCAGGTTCGGTCGTGTGCACGGGATTTTCCATTAGCTCGTTCGACCAAGTGCGCGGGATCATAGAGAGAGGAAAACCTTTGGGGTGGCCCAGCTTCGTTCCTCCCGACGTCCTTCTTTCCCAACTCCGACCGCGCAACCTGCGCTCCCTTCTCTCGCCCTTTCGCCGAGCTCCTTCCTCTCTCTTTCGTCGCCTTTCTCGCCTTTCTCGCAACCTCCGGCTTCCCTTTGTCTCGTCCTATCGTTCGATCGTTCGCCACGGCCACACGACGCGCTTCATCGGGGCTAAATTCCAGCCCCGAAATCTCGCCTCACCCTTCCACGCTTCTCTCTTCTCCGGAGGACAGAGCTTCCTCTCCTCTCGCTCCAACGGGAAGACGAATAAACAGCGTCCCTCGCGTCGATCGATCTCTTCTGCTAGCGAAACCTTCGGATCTCCCTCGAGGAGAGCCTTCGAACCTCGCTACACGCTCGCCATCTGTCCCCGGTTCGATGTTCGTCCGTAGCAATCTCGCCGAAGCTCGTACGCTATCATTCATCCGATCCTCCTTCGGGGCGCGAGGTTACGCGCAGGAGGTGGTGCGCTTCAAGAGCGATCTTTGCCAGTAAAGAGTCCAAGGAACGTACGCGCAGGCGTGATCCGCGGAATCGAATAAACAGACACAGCAACAATTCAGGGAGAGAGAGAGAGAGAG